GCAAGTTCGAGACCACCTGGGCTACAAAGTGAGCTCAAGGCCAGCCTGAACTGCATAGTGAGACCCTGTCTCAAAAAGACAAAAAAAAAAACCTCTTTCATAGAAGAAAAAATCCTGCCCATGTAGTCCAAAGAAAGGGAAACAATAGGCTGTCTCTTGAAGATGACCGCTGGGACAATGAGTTTGGATCCAAATGGCTTCTGTTTGTGAGACTGAGTGATGCTGAACTCTACGCTCGGTCCAGGGGCTCAGGGGGAGCCTGGGCTTCCCAAGGATGGATTGACGAAGGGTACACGGGACAGAAGAAGTCCATTCACAGTCACCCTGAGGAGGAAAGTGGAAGCACGAGATTGATTCTCTTTGAGAGAGGACAGGAAAAACTGGCAACTGGTTATTCCTGGCTCAGTTTTTTACGTATTATGGATTTTAGTCACTTTTGCAGGAGAGTGAGGTAGGACACGAGTAGAATTTCTTTCAGACTGTCCAACAAAAGCAGAGTTTCACTGCCAAGAGCAGCTGTGAAGCTTTCATTTGTCCCTCAAATGCCTGCTGAACCAGGTGCCGTGGAAAACATTCTACCCAAGTTCTGTGCCTGTCAAAATCGCGGCATGGCAAACATAAAATACTTACACTAGGAAGTGAATTCCTGCCACAAGGGAAGAAACGAGATGAAACTGAAACACTGAAAAATTTATTCCCAGCAAGAAACTACTTCTGACTTGGGTTTTTTTGCAGGGCGGGGGTCAAGGAAGGCAAAAACAGGGAGACAAAATCCAGAAAAGAAGTATCATAAGCAACTTTCAGAGATGGTAAATCTCTAGACACTTAATGGTAGTTTGATTTGGCAAATAAAAAGGTGGAAGTGGGGCTGGGGATTTAGCTCAGTGGCAAAGCGCCTGCCTGGCAAGCGCAAGGTCGTGAGTTCAGTTCCCGGTACCAGAGAAAAACCAAAAAAAAAAAACAAACAAAAAACAAACAAACAAACAAAAAAGGTGGAAGTGATTCATGAGGATTTCCCTGAAGATAGAAGATATATATAGCACATCTCATCTCCAGCTTGCCTGTGGTTAAGAGTTTTTTGTTTGTTTGTTTTTTTCTTTAAAATTTTTTTAAACATAAAAAATTCCTGCTCATAGCTTACCCCCTTCAAAAAAAAAAAATCCTTCTAAGTTTGGAGAGCTCCAAAATGTCTTATTTGTACACTGAACCCTCTTGGCTAACTTTCTAATAAAGGAGCATGTCTTCTACAGCAGGGATTCTCACCCTCAGCACTACTGACATTTTAGACTAATCCTTCTGTAAAGAATAATGCGCGGCAGAGATCACTCAACAAGCTTATGTGAAAGCAACGAGGCATATAATTTAATACCTGGGTGCAGACAGACAAGAGGGTGAAACAGCAGGAAACAAAGAGAGACAGGCTTCTTTATAGGGCTTGAAAGAAGGCAAGGGACACTAGGTCAGGAAGATCTCAGTAAACACCAGTGGTCAAAGTTTTCTAAATGTCTCATCCCTCAGTGGGCGAAGTCCTTGAGGTGTCCAGTGTAAATGTGTGGGTGTCTTCAGATGTCCCGGTGCATGGAAGATTCCATGCTCTGTTTTATCTCTTTTATGACATCCTGTGTTTGCCGAGAGCAGCCCTGGTGCTGAGCTGGGCCTTTGCTGAGAACAATGCCCCTGCTGGCAAACAGGCTGGGCGCTGGAGAGTCATGCCCAAATCGAGCCCAACACCTTTGTGAGAAGAGTGTTGTTCTACGCGCTGTAGGACAATGTTCAGCCATATCCCCGGCCTCTATTTACTAAGAGTCAATAGAAGCCCGCCTAACTCTACGCCTGACAATCACAGTCCCTGCAGACAGTGCCAGATCCCCCTTGAGGAACACAATCAGCCATGGTTCAGAATCTAGACCCATAATGAGTCAGCGTGCAAACCGCTTCTTCCCCTATGCAATGAAGACAACTGAAAAGGCTTTTCGCATTCCAGATGTGAAGACTGCACAGAAACGAGTTTATCTGTTGCCACTATGGTACTCTGCATTGAGAGAGAAGGTGTATATGATCCAGCCATTTGTATACGTGTGCTGCCACTTACACGTGAATACTAAAATTGTTACATGTTCCTGATTATTTTTCAAAATTCCTCACAAAATCACTCATGAAGACTTTGATTTAAAGTATTTTAAAATAAATAGCAGGTAAATGTCTTTCTATGAAAACACAAATCAAATTCCAATGCTATCTAAGATTATGAGGTCAAGATCATGGGGTAATGGTCTCAGTTTGGGTATTAAACACCAGTAGCAAAAGAGGAACAGGAGATAAAGACTTAAAATGGGTCTTTAAAGGCCTTTGAGCTCTGGATTTTTAGTTATTTTTCCTTGCTGAGACACGAGAAAAATTAAGAATTGAGCAAAGTTGATTGTATGCACCTGATTTTTTAAAAAATATTTTATTAGTTTTTCATAAAGAAACTGAGTCTTTTAAAATATATATACAACAATAAATTGTTTCCAAAATAAATACATGTATGTGGCAACACTTAGGCTTTGTTTCAAGTATAGACTGCATTGTCCAAATCTTTAGAAGAGGAACTGGTGCTGTGAAAGTAAGACAAAAATTTTTGTTTATTTGTTTTTGCTCTGCTGTGAGTTGAATCCAGGGCCTCACACATGCTGGGCAAGCACTTTACCTAAAATTTCAAAAAGTTATAATTATGACCAAAAGTCATTATTTTAAGGTATTTTTACTTTCTATAGTAAAGTGACTTGGAAAATTTATGAATAAATACAAAGCATTTCTGTGCCATAATTTCTGTAATTTTCTTTTTTTCTGTCCTTCTATGAACCATTTTCTGCAGGGTACTGGAATATTGGACTAGAATACCCTCTTGTCACTAGATAAAAATGGTGCTGTTATTGAATACACACTAATTGCAAATTTATCTGGACAAAGAAATCAGCAGTCCCTGCAGACAATGCCAGATCCCCCTTAAAGAACACAATCAGCCATGGTTCAGAACCTAGGCCAGACATACTTCCACTGTTAAAATCACTATCATTAGAATCAAAGATATCTGTAGGAGAAAGGAACCATGGAAATATTAGCATATGACTACCAAATACTGCCGAAGACCCAATACAGCCCATTTGTGGACTCTTAAATTCTCAAAAATTGAAAGTTCTATATTTTTCTTGCCAAGAAATCTCAGTGCTTCAGTTTATGAGATCAAAATAGATAATAGCACCCTGTTTCTCCTGGTTCATCTTAGAAACAAAGTGCTTTGTCGTGATGGAAATCTCCAAAGCAGATAGTGGTGCCTGCTTTGCTTTCAGAAACATAAAGCAGGAGGTTGGCTCCATAGCGCATGCCTGTAATTCCAGTGTTACAGGATGCTGAGGCAGGGGGATCCCAAGTTCAAATCCAATGTGGCTGACCTAACAAGAACTTCTCTCAGAATAAGAAAAAAAAAAAAAACAGAGGCTGAGAACATAGCCCAGTGGTAGAGGACCCTGGCTTAATTACCAGTAATATACATCCATACTTGCACATACAAAGAACCAGAAAGCAAATGGCACTATTACAAAATATATGTAATATATTTTTATAACTATTCACTGTCATAATAAAAACCCAACATGGAATCATAGATTCTCACATTCTGTCATTCTGCTCATCTCTGTAGCCCTTCCTAGTAGGCTGTACCGAGCCATGCACTTGACAACTTTTCACACGAAGAATTACATCTCCTACAATACCTTGGTGTTGGCAAAAATGAACTTTGATCATCATATATTTTACATTCACTGAGTGGGCTTGGTAGTTACTGAAACTCCTGTAAGATAATTTTTAAAACTGCTTTTCAGTAAAAGAGAGTTTCCACCCCCCCAGTAATAGAAATTAAGAGAAAACACAGATGACTAGAAAAGTGATGGTTCGGGGGCTGGGGATTTAGCTCAGCGGCAAAGCGCCTGCCTGGCAAGTGCAAGGTCGTGAATTCAGTTCCCGGTACTGGAGAAAAACAAAATAAATAAATAAATAAATAAATAAATAAATAAATAAATAAATAAATAAAAAGAAAAGTGATGGTTCATAGCAGTAAAATATAAGATTTAAGAAATGAATGCTTAAAATCCTCCATCTTTTGCGTGTCTATAGTCAGGAATTCTGTTCAGTAAGGAAGACCTGGCAGTTTTTCCCGCTTGCTTTTTCTCTCAAGTGGGATGAGGGCTGGGAGATCTGTCTACAGAAGCCTGCATGTACATCACCAATGGTCTCCTTCCTCAGTGTTCTCATCCAGAAGACAATGAAGAATGACTTCCAAGAGGACAGCAGCGGGGAACAAACCGGGTGTGGTTTATTAGAAAGAGCAAAGAAAAGCTCTCGCTAGCTGAGGGGCTCCAAGGGAGGATGTAAGGAGGCACTCAGGTCTGCAGGTTTATTTGCAGACTTTGGTACAAGAATGAAGCAATATGGTCATGCTTTTGCTAGCCATCTGACATTAGGAGACCAGCTTTCCTCGCACCCCAACTTCCCACACTTGTCCCAGTTTACTCAGGGTGATACCCTTACCTGCCTCTGAGCCCTCTATTTCCTGATCTCACATGAATCTATTCCTTCCCCCTTCTTAAATGGATTTTAAATTCAGATCCTTTCTATCATTAAGTTCACTATCCTTCCACAAAAACTTAGCTAAAGGAGTAAGTGTCAGAGTATTCAAAGTCCAACACGGTATTTGATAATTATAGCAGGTAATTAATGCTGGGAGGGATCACTGGAGTGATAGTGGAGAAAATTTCCTCAGTTTTAACAATATGTTTATATCTGAAAGGAATTAGACTGATGCGGTTATTAATCTTACTGGCTGTTAACAATATATCTCTTACCAATATAATTTAGCTGGCAGGTATGTTCTCTTGAAGGGAACTATTAAAAAAAAAAAAAAAAGGAAAGCACCCAATCCATTAACAACAACTTGCTGATAACACTCTTTTATTTTAAAGGTGTCCTGGAATGGCCGTTCTGGACAAAACTGGTTGTGGTGGCCATTGGCTTCACAGGAGGTCTTGTCTTCATGTACGTACAGTGTAAAGTCTACGTCCAGTTGTGGCGCAGGCTAAAAGCCTACAACCGTGTGATCTTCGTGCAGAATTGCCCAGATACCGCCAATAAACTGGAGAAGAACTTCTCATGCAACGTAAACACAGACATTAAAGATGCAGTGGTAGTGCCTGTATCACAAACAGGTACAAATTCACTGCCGCCCGCAGAGGTTGGCCCTCCGGAAGTTATACCCGTCTGATGGAACTATTTGGGAGTTTCTTCACCCAAGAACATCTTTGTAGCCTTCAGCCACTACAAATGACAGACGTGATCCTGCATTATTCGCTCCCTTTATCTCCTTTCTTCTACTGACTCATTTTTCCTTACTTGGCTCAGAAAGGAAAGGAGGAAAAAGAAAATCAAATGACTAGGATCTCATGAAGGAGCCTAAAGGATGACATGGAAATGTGAAGTTTGCTGGAATGATTTCTAAGACAGTAAAGAACTACTGGTACACGAAATGCTTTTAGGCAGTGAGGACAAATTAAATGGACACGTGCTTTTCTTTGCAGTAGCAGGGGCAAGATTCAAGAATACAGACTTGAATTGCAATGTGTATTTCTCCTTATGGCCTTGTCATGTTGGCTATCTCATGTGGAAATAACATACACATTTGGTTTTAAGCCTGAAATTGTCTGCATTGTCCTAAGTCACAGTGGAAGCAAAGTTGGAGGATGCATATTTTGATATACAGATTTTTATGGCTATAGTGGAGTCTGGTTATTTTGACAGATGCATGTTTTAAAAACGGATGCAACACACATCTGAAGATAGTAGTACCTGGAATTACATTTAAATCATGAACAGAAGGTTTTTAGAGAATGTTCGGGTTTAATTAGCTCTGTTAAGTACCCATAGAAATCAAAATCAATGATCGGGTCCTATATTTTATCTGGTTCCTCTAACAGTGTTTGCCAACAGAAATAGGACACTGGCTGCCAAGGGCGGGCCACAACTGTAAATTTACAATTTCCAAGTAACACTATCAGAAAACATAAAAATGAGTAAATATTAATTTTGATCATTTTAACCCCATAAATACAAGTTATTTCAACATCCCATCCGTGGAAGGAATTATCAAAATTGTATGCTTTGAACCAAGACCTCAAAATCCAGTGTGTACTTCATAACACACCTCAACTTGAATTAACTGTATTAGGCAGCACAGCTCTAAAAGTAGAGCTCCACTTCACAGTTGAACATTTCAAAGCTTACCTCATTACTTTATTTCGAAGTTTCATTTAAAGAGCATGATTTTACAAAGCATTAAACTAATCAAGTTAAGTATCCTGGTTTGAAGAATGTGATGAAATTACCACTTCTCTAAAAGGAAAAACAAAAACACAGAAAGTAATCTGCCTGCAGCAAGTTGTGAAATCAACTTGTTTGCTACTATGAAGCATTTATGACAGGGAAGTAAAATTAAATATTTTTGTTAATACAACAAAACTGTAAAGTTTTTTTAAAATCCATATGGCAGTTGAGTAACTACAACCAAGAATGTCGATCCTATTTTAAAAAACTGACAGTATTTACCTTGCTCAGTTACGAAGCAAAAATACTCAAGATTCTGTAAGTAATAAATTGAGTTTTTCAGGTTTGACAGTTACTATTTCGTTCTTTACATATTCATAGGAAACTCAAGTGTGAATGATACCGAAGTGAGCTACACCGAGAACTGTAGATATAGTCGCCTGCTGAAAGACATCCTACATTTTAAAAAGTGATTTTTGTTAGTTGCCATATTTATTATTGTGAAAAGGCAAGGACGGCCATCAGAACCAAAGCATGGGCTATCACAATGCACAAATCTGGGTACCATATCAGTGCACTTTGTAATTTTCGTGTTTGTTCTTCACAGATTATCAAAGGAAAAAAATGTTTTCATGAGAAAGACAGTGTGGATATTAGTAGTGGTTAACACCGATTCCAAATAGTCCCATTTCTAGAAATAAAGCAAAGGTAAACCATGTCAAGTGTGTGTGCGTGCATGTGTGTGTGTGTGTGTGTGCGTGTGTGCATGTGTGATGTATTCACATATATATGCGAGACAAAATGTAAAGCTGTTCAGTCAGGAAACAAAAGATTTAAAATTCAACTTCATTAAAAATTATTGTAGGAGGGGGCTGGGAGTTTAGCTCAGCGGCAAAAGCGCCTGCCTGGCAAGCGCAAGGTCGTGAGTTCGGTTCCCGGTACTGGAGAAAAACCAAAAAAAAAAAAAAAACAAAACAAAACAAAAAAAAATTATTATAGGGGTACGGAGTACAGGCAGAGGAAAACAAAATGAAGGTAACTAAACTGGACCAAACACTCCACTCAAGTAAAGACTTCAGTGGCTTTTAAAAAGAATACGTCGGGCCAGGGATATATTTTAGTGGCACAAGCGCCTCCCTGGCAAGCACAAAGTCCTGAGTTCGATTCCTGATACCAAAAAAAAAAAAAAAAGAATACATCAACCTCAAACTTTGTATTAACTTTTTAAATTTCCCTTTTAAAGATTTAAGATAAATACACATTTGAGTAACAAAAGCTCTGGGTGATTTAACCATGGTACCACACGCAAGGTACTAACATCCCTTCAACTCTCCTCTTTGCTTTTTCTAAATTTTCTATAATTCATTACCCCTGTGGGTTAGTATTGGCAATATACTGTCTGCAAATATTTCTGAGGAAAAAGTAGTCACCAGCAAACAAAAAATTCTGGTTCCTCTTTTTGTCTGCTCTGAATGAAAAAAAAGGATTATTTAACTTTAGTGACCAGGGAAAATACAGTTTTAAAAGTGAGAAAGGCAAATATATAACTCATTTCACAGTGGGGGACGATGGGCTTAAAAATCGAGACTTCATTTATCAAAGGCTACATTTAAACCTAAGGAAACATTTCTAAAATGAACAGCAAAGATAAATGTTGCTATGTTAATGATAGGAGATAATGGTATTTCTAAACTACCAAAACTCTCAAAAAATTACCTGTATAGGTTTTCAGTTTATTGAAATGAGAATATAGCTCCCTAGTAGGATTAAAAGTCAACCATTCTGCTATTCTCCCAATTTTTCAAAACCTTACACTGAATTTCATTTTAAGAAAACCTACTGTAGCAAAATCTCCATTGAAAAGTTTTCCTGCAATGAATGTTTATGATTTAAACAATTTGAAATAACCACATTCATTTAAAACCTAATTGTCTATTATTATTGTTTTGCATTCCAACAAGCAATGGTACATTTGTCCTTTCAAACAATATTTGTCTTTATAGCAGTGCTTTCTGGTGGATTGATTTACCTCTCAGAAAAACTGCTCTATAGAATGACTTTTTTTTTCCTGGTACTGGGAATTGAACCCACGACCTTGCGCTTGCCAGGCAGGCACTATGCCACTGAGCTAAATCCCCAGCCCCCTAGAATGACATGTTTTGAGGTATGCTTACTTGCTCCTATAAGAAATAAAATGGCCTTGAAACAAAGGGCTGAAATTGAAGAATACACTTAAAAATCTTGGCTTTTTATAAACATAACAGGAAAATACAGCATTCATACCATAACGAATGCCAGGAATCACAGGCACTGATGCTATCCAATTTTTTTTAACTAAAAGGTTGTCACTTTAGTTGTAGAAGGTTAAAGATTACGCTGCAAGGGAATCAAATTACAAGTTCTTAAAAAGTGAAGATAGAAAGGCAATTATGCTTACATATGGAAACAACAAAATAAAAATGGAAAAAATTGTAAGTGAGCCCCACCTAGCACACAGCGGTGCAGTTTGAAGGAGGCTTTCCCACACTGCCCCGCACTGGATCTCATTCAGAGCTGCTGCAACATGTGACGATAATCCAGAGATGGTCTCACGGTTACATTGCTTCTCGTTTTGCACAAAGTCTTCAGTACTCTTAAAACAACTATTCTTTGGCTAGAAAACTGGTTTATCAGTCCAAGGACATCATTAAAAAAATTATAGCGGGGGTGAGGTGGGAAGGTCATTCCATCTGCCAGATACAATTTACCCTTCCTTGCCTTGCCAATGACTATTGTGGACCCAAGTGGAGATCTTTAAGCATATTATCATTATTATTGTAGTTGTTACATAGTAGTTCTGTAAGAATCATACCTTAATTAAGAAGGATGAAAACCTTTTTGCTTTATTTTAATCAGCCCAATGGTGCTATTTTACATATCAACACAATTGCAAGGAAGTACTGTTACTTTGGGCTGCAGTGTTTCCTCCATGTCTGAAGAAGCCCAGTTTGGAACTGGATATTGCATTGAAACAAGGAAGAAAAAAAATTATTTTAATTGTGTGTCATTTTTGAAATTGGGCATTTGTACTTTTTTCAGTTTTACCTAATTCTCTTTCATTAACAATTTACTGTTTGTCAATAACGTGTGCTAAGACAAACTAATGAAAAGAAAATAATTATCTGTGAAAGGCTTTGTATATTAAACAAGTGATCTAAATCTTGGCTGCAGTTTCTATACTTATTGCCTAAGGTGCTGGGATTTTTACCGATTTATATCTGCAGATTTGAAGCCCTTGACTACAATGTTCTGAGTTTTAAAGCTGGATCTGAACGAATTTACTATCTTTTTTTTGACAGTCTCTAATTTATCCATACATTTTAATTATAACGATCACATCCATCATACAGAATTTGTACCTGTACATGATATATCCTAATTATTTCTCTCCATTCCTCTCCCTTCAGCACCTTTTCCCTTCCTTATTTACAAAAATATATTTTCCATTTTTCCTTCTATTCTGTTTTTCTTTTCCCTCCCCTTTTCCCTTTCCCATTTGAACATTCTCTTCTTATTTCATAATATCTATTACACATTTCAGTCCTTATTTACACTGCTGGTTTCGCACACCAGAGAAACAATGTGATATTTACACGTATCTGAGTTATTTCACTTAGAGTATGGTCTCAAGGTGTATCCATTTACCTAGAAATGTCTCAAGTTTATCCTTCTTTGGAGGGAGTAGTACACCATTGTGTAAAAAAATTTTTTTTTCTTTATCCATTGGTTAATGGGCATTTGGGATAGTTCCAAGATTTAGCTATTACAAACTGTGCTGCTATAAATATGGGTATGTATATATTGCTATGGTACAATGCTTTTAATACTTTTGGGAAGATACCAAGAAGGGGAACAGCTGGGTCAAATGGAACCTTTAGTTTTTTCCAGGAATCTCGAGTGGTTACACCAGTCTATACCCCACCAGCAGTGGAGAAGGGTTCTTTTCCCCACAGCCCCACCAGCATTTGTTATTGGTTGATTTCTTGATAATAGCCATTCTTTCTGGAGATGGAATCTCAGCATTGTTTTAATTTGTATCTCATGAAAAACCAGTCATGTTAAGGCAAATGTGCTGACTCGCATTGAGGAAAGAATAGGCAGATTAGAAAGAATAGGCAGATTCATAAACCAAGGGAAATAATGTAAAGATTTTCAAAAGCTGTTTTAAATATTTTATGTAAAATCACAATGTCACCTCATGAATGACCAGTGATTTTTTTCATGTATTTATTTGCCATTTCTACTTCCTTATCTGTTATGTGTTCATTCATTTTAGATGCCCACTTCTGGCTTGGGTCTTTACATTTGGAGGTTATTATTATTTTTTGGAGCTCTTTATATATTCTAGGTATTAGTCCTCTGAGGAAGAGATGGCAAGGATTTTTGCCAGTCTGTGGGTTATCTCTTTATTCTGTTGATGATTTCTTTTGCTGTGCAAAAGCTTTTTAATAATACGAGATCTCAGTTGTTCATTATTTGTAGTATTTCCTGTGCAACTGGGGTTTTATTCATGAAGTCTTTGTCTAGCCTGTGTCTTTAAGCGTTCTACCTGCTGTCTTTCCAGCAGATTCAGTTTTTCTGTTTTAATATTTAGATCTTGATCCATTTTGTTAGGTTAGTGCCCGATGAGAGACAAGGGCCTAGTTTTAGTCTTCACCATGTGGAAAGCCAGTTTTCCCAGCGCCCTTTGTTAAAGAGGCTATCACTCTTCCAGTGAAGGTGCTTGCCCCCTTTGTCAAAGATAAGGTGGCTGAGAGTGTTTGAGACTGTCTCTGCATCTTCTAATCTGTTCCTTTGATTCTCTTACGGCAAACGTGCTGACTAGCAATGCAAATCGTGACAAAGAATAGGCAGATATAAACCAATGGAAATAAGGTACAGATTTTCAAAGGCTATTTTAAAAAGTTTATGTAAAATCACAATGTCATCTACAGGATTTTCCATGAATGTGAATTTAGAAAAAAGAATATAATAGAATTTTTCTAATTAAGAGATGAAAAAAATAATTTTTCTACTCAGAGATAACAAATGCATGGATCTGGGTAATTCTGTGGATGAAACATTAGAAGCTACTGCTCATGTAGGAAGTTTGGCAATGGCGGAGAAAACGTCCCTTCCCAAAGCTGCAGTTCTAGCCCTGAAATCAGGGCTAATAGGGTACCTGGCAACCTTTCTACCACTGCTCGTCGTAAGAGCTCACACCCCGGCCATCTGTACTCACAGCCTTCCCGCACCACCCCAAATCACAGCGTCACCCTCCTCACTAATCACTGTCACTGTGTTTTAAGGAGTGACCCGCAAGGGAGCCACACGGGGGGCGGGGTTGGGGGTGGTGGATGTTTCCCGGGAGAGCAAGGACAAGAGCACAGACGTTTCCAGCCTTGTCCGATCTGCGGCCTGCCTTTCTCCTTGCCGCTGCCCTGCGTTTGAGTGAAAAGGAATTGTCTTGGGTCACATATAAAACACATAGGTAACAAAATTTCTTTTATTCTTTATTCTAACATGTAAAAAGGGGGAAAAAATAAAAAGTGGGCCACAGGTTCGACATGGCTGTTGGGAGGCACCTTCAGGCTCAGACCTGAAAGACAGAAAACTGCCATTGTCAGCCATGCCAGGCACTCAGAATAGGAACTCAGGCGGAGGGAACAAGTAGCGCCGAAGTTTGGAGGAGGAAACGCTAAGCGAGCGAGGCTGACAGATTTGCGCAGTAAAGATAACGAGCCCTTACTCACAGTTTACTTAGACGGTGAAGCTGCACAAAGGCGCCCTCTTCCCGTGTCTTCCTCCGCAGGTAGTCACAACCAGAAAAGCAGCCGGATGACATGTCACGGGGAGGCACCCTGCTGCGGAGATGCCAATTCCAAGCAGTAAGTACTCTAACCTGCACTGTCCCCCAAAAGAACTGGAGAAGAGTCTCAGACTTGAACATTACTTGGAAGATCATGGCGAACTCCCCGTTTCAGAAAGACCACAGCACATTCTTCCAAGGCTGAGGTCAGCTATGACAGAAGTGTGCCTAAGTGGACTGGGTGTGCACAAAGTGTTAGCAGTGAAGGCAAGCAGAAATAAGAACAGTGGCAGGAAGACCAGACAGAAAGCGACTGCATTTAAAAAAAAAAAAAAACACAACGGTACCACATGTAGGAGAGGCAAGACAGCACGGCTCCTTCAGGTGAGAGTGAAAAGTAGAGACAGAACTTCCTGGACAGAAGTCCAACAGCACAAGAAATAACAGCCAACATCAATGGACTGTATTATCTTTTGCATTTGGTTATCTTTATTGAATGCACTCATTCACAGAAAACAGACACACAACCACAGCATGGAAAGACATAAAACGGAGCTCTGAAACGAAGACCCAGGCCAGCCTCCTGTCCCAGCCCAAGAGATATAAAAACATGTCAGGGAGAGAAAACCACTCCCGCGCCAAGGCAGAGACCCAACCTGATCTCCCCCATCCTTGGCATCTGGAAAGGAGCGGGTGGGGTGAAGGGAACCAAGGACCAGAGCAGCCGGAGGGCCCGGAGCTGGGCGTCAATAGGATTATATTAAATGCATCGACCTGACTTCCATGGTACCAGTAACACTCGCTTTTTAAATGACAGCAGTGGGCGGAGAAGAGAGAAAGGGCAGAAGCTGGGAAGATTTATAGACTTCTGGCTAGAGAAATTACGTGAAAAAACATAGGCAAAAAAATCAAGGCTTTGGGAGAAAACAATAGGGAGTGGGATCCAGGACACAAGTTGAAGTATTTGCCCTTGAAAGAAGCTACTATATTCATTGCCTTGAGAGGACAACAATTTTTATCAAAGATTTATAAAAAATCAAGAGTTGAATTTTGAGACTAGAATTTAAGTGCACCTAAAAAAATCCCCAAAAGTAGTAATTATCTCAGACTCGAGAAATTTAAAAGGAAACAGTAAGATCACGCAGCAGTACTGAGAATCCAAGGGAGATCGACGGACGCACGTGAAAGCAGCGTTCTGACCTTCAGCAACAACTTGCTCCCTGAGAACAGGTGTGAAAGAGACAGATAACTAAGTGTTACTTGCTTTAGTTTTTGAAAAACAAATACTGTTACTTGCTTTGTTGTAAGCAGAGACAAACATATGAGGACATATACAAGGAGGCCACTATGAACTCCGAAACTTCGTGGGACAAGCGATCATCTGAAGAGAGGGAATACATGGACACTGAGAACTTCAAAGAACTAAGGGAGACATGTTTTGAAGCTGGTACAGAGCAAACAGGATGCCTACCCGAGCTCTCTCGCTCCTGAACACCTAAGAACAGGAAGGAGGCCAGAGAAAAGACACCCTCTAACAAAGGATGCTGGGAAAACTGGTTACACACGCAGAAGGCAGAAACTAGATGCATCATCTCACCCGACACTAAAATCACAACGGATCTAAGACCCAGATAATAAAACAGAAACACTGAAATGTTGGAAGGTAAAGTAAGGGAAACACTTGAAAAGAACAGGCATAGGAAGGTCTTCCTGAACAGAGCTCCAGGAGCACAAGAAATAACAGCAAACATCAGAGGATTATATTAAATTAAAAAGCTTCTACAAAGAAAAGGAAACAATGCATTGCAGACATACTTACAGAATGGGAAAAAGATTTTGCCAGCAACTCTTCAGATAGATTAATATCTAAGATATACAAAGAACTCAAAGAAAAGAAGACAAGAAAAAACAAGAGACCCAATTAAAAAAAACACAGGCAAAGGAAATGAACACACTCTTCTCAAAAGGAGTACAAATGGCCAGTAAGTACATGAAAAAATGCTTGGCATCTGTGGCCATTAGGAAAGTGCAGATCAAAGCAACTCTGAAATTCCATCTTATTCCAGAAAGAATGACTATCAGGAACTCAAAAAACAGCAAATGCTGGCAAGGACGTGGAAGAGACTGTTCTATGCTACTGGTGGGAATGTAAACTAGTACAACTGCTATGGAAATCAGTGTAGAGTCCCTCCAAAAATAAAACTAGGCACTCCATTTGACCTAGACACACACTCCTTGGTACTTTTTCAAGAGTTAAAAGACATCTCACTACAGTGATATATAGACAGTCATGTTTATAACAATACAATTGATAATACCTAAACTATGGAAACAGTCTTGATACCCATCAACAGACAAATGGATAAAGCAAATGTGGCATACCTACACACAGTGGAGTATTATTTGGTCATAAAGAAGGCTGGATTTGAGCTGTGCGTAGGAAAATGGATCTTGACATCACAATGCTAAGAGAAACACATCAGTGTGAGAAACCTTAAATGTAAATAAATTGAAGAGTAAAATAAAGGACAGCTGATAGGAAACAGTGAGGAAGATTTCTTTTGCAGATGGGGAAGAGTGTCAAAGGAAGGGGGGACAGGAGACAGTAAGGCAGACGGGATCAAAAATGATCAAGATCGTATTTATATCTAATTCCCCCAAAAGAATGTAATTGTTGTGCTCCCTTTGGCAGCACATATACTAAAAAAAAACAAACCAATTACCATATGTCACAAACATGTACCAATAAAAAAAGTAAGAATAGAAGCAGCTCCTACTTGAGGTGAACATGATCCAGAAGGGAAACTTAAGTCAGTCAAGCAAGAAAGTAACTCAGATTTTAGAAGCAGAGAAGACAGCTGTCAGAATTAGCTGATCTGAATTTATTATTATTTAGTCTTTTTTGAGACATGGTTTTACTATGCGGTTCAGGCTGCCCTTGAACTCATTTTGTAGCCCAAGCTGGCCTTGAATTCACAGTGATCCTCCTGCCTCAGTCTCCCAAGTGCTGAGGTTGCAGGTGTGTACCACCACGCCCGCTTGTTGCTCTGAATTCAGAAATGTATTACTACCCCACATCTAAGCAGGTTGCTCACTGGTGTAAACAAGGGGTCACCAGCCCACTGCAACCGGCAAATCAATCCAGCCTGTGGCGTCCTGTGTACCTAAGATGGCCTTTTACGTTTTTAAAGGATGGTCTCACACACACAGCAAGTTACTTGGCCATGGTCTATAGAACAGATATGCTACTGACTTAAAAAGGGTCTGGAGGAAGAAAGTTAAGAGCCATACAGAAAAAACATATGCTACCGGCAAGGATTAAAAACATCATTCCAAAGACAAGTTGTCTCAGGCTTCTTTGCCCTTGCCAAGAGGGATATGCTTATTATGGTCCTACATACCTGGTAAATGAGTTCATTTAGCAAATATTTATCTGGTCTAATTTGCAGCAGTATAGCTTGGAAGTTACATTTCTTGCATTGGCAACTTTAGGGAAAACACAAACAAGTATCTGAGGGAGAGGGTAATCTACTTTGACAAGTTATTTCACTAACAACTTAGGATTTTAAATATCAGACCAGATAAAATCATTCTTACTGTATTTACTGTACTACTATATGACTAAATGTCCCCACGCATTTTGAGACTTTACATGAACACAGACACAGAGGAAATTTGTCAATAACTAAATATGCATCAAGTTAATTATAAAACAACATTTTACACATATTAGTATAATCAGCATCAGTTATTGAAAATTAAATAACGAACTGTAAGAAGTAAAGTTATAGAAATAAATTTTATTTTTAATTTTCAGGAATATAAAAGTTACAACACTCTGTATAAATTGTTAACAGTTTAGCTGATACCTAGTTAATCTCATACAGTGTATCTTTTCCTTTTCTTGAAAATAGTTACACATACTTACATCCTTTAAAAGACAGACTAACATATATTAGCATTTATTAAGTTCTTTGAAGAACAAAATTCTGGAACATTCATGTTTGTCAGGAAACTTGAAATACTGTGTTAATTCAGTAATTTAACGAATATATCTGTTAGAAGAAAAAGTAGCAATTATAATCACTGGATCTCTAACTTTTAGGTCTGAATAAAGCTTGTCACTTTTCACAATAAGAAAGCAGAAAACAACATAATAATCAACTGCAGCTAACCTGCAATCATTCAGTTCTCCTGGACCGGTAAGAGGCACGGCCTGGTGGGAGGTCATCACCGGCCTTTTCCGTTCTCTGGCTTCCAGTCTCTCCCTCCACGATGACACCAGGCACCCAGAGCACAGAAGCAAGAGGGGGCCCTGCCACAGCCAAAACCGTGCTGCATGGACTTTCAACCTCCACAACCATGAGCTCAATACACTTCTTTTCTCTCTAAGTTACAAGCCTCTGGTATTTTGTTAACAGTAACGAAGACATAATACATCTTTTTTAGCAACTTAATATAAATGAAAAGCAAGTTTCATATTTAAATAAAAATTACAATACCATTTTTGAAACTGCAAGTGTAATTCACATTATGAGAGAGAATAAGTTAAACAGCAAATACTAGGTGATTATTTTTCATGAGTAGTAAGTGTGACTTCAAGTTCTCATATTACTTATTTTCAAGTCAAGTAAGGACAATCAGGCCACGGGAGTCATTTCTTCATCCGAGTCACTCGATTCCCCTTTTAGTTCCAACTGCCCTAAATCTTTGTCTATAGTTAAAGTTTGAGTTTTCTTCTTATGCTTCTTAGCAACTGCATCATTAGCACAAAGTTTTCTCATCTTAATGTTCGGCAATTTCTTCAGGTCCAAATCCCAGTCCCTAGACAAAACAAAGACTGTGGTGTTGGCGGGAGTTGAAGTGAAAAAGCAGAAGGCAGTCAATCTGCAAAACTGGAAGGAGCAAAGAAACTTCACAAATTTACAACAGAGAGCAACTGTACTAGAAATAACTAGTACAGCTGAACCAGAAAAACCCACCACCCCAAGAAGTCTGGCTTTCTTTCTCTATGCCTGTTGCATTCCTCTTTAATCCGCACGGCACCAGCAATGCCTGCACAGGGAATCCCACGTACTCAAAACTTCAAAGCAAACAGGAGAATAGGGGCAGAAATGACAAGAAAGCGCTGTTCCTCTCCTGTGCTCTCCTTCACTTGAGTATCTCTACGGTGCTAGCCAGACTTAAGACTCTCAAAAGTAGAAACTGTCCCGTTCTCCCAAATCTGCAAAGAGCACAGTCAGGAAAGGTCTTTCTCTTCACACACAATGATACACTGCAGCTGAGCTTCTGTGATTAACTGTTATTTTTATAACAGAAAATGCCCGGTTTTTCAACTTCAGTATTTTCTGCTCAAGTACTTTAGGGACAACATGAAGACTTCTAAGAACCAAAGTAACCAGCAATACGAACAGACCATGCTCACCTCTTCTCTCACTTGACTTTATTTGGAAGAGGCAGAATGCTCCTTGTTTCACAAATAAGGAGTATATTTTATATTTGATTATGTTTGATTTAATTTCAATTAATAAAAAGTTTCAGATCCATTAACATTGTCTAGTTTAGGCCAAAATGATTAGGGAAAAACCCTCTCTAAAGACAGAGAATCAGTGTTCAAAAACTGCACAGGGAATCAGACAGAGAATCAGTGTTCGAAAACTAAAAAATTGAAACGCTAATTACAGTGGTCTCCTTGGTTACAGGGTACAACCAGAGACCACTGGACCAAGGGGCTCCTGCTGACTTAACCCTCCTCCTCACTTTCCATTACCCATCTCCTCCACAAGAGGGCGCTGCAGAACAATGGGGGGGGTGACGCTGAGCCATCAGTCTGCAGCTGTTATTTTATCTCTTAAAAAGAAGGAAAAGAACTGAGAAGGAACAGCAATACCTTTAAAATACTGAAGTATTTTAAACAATTTTGAAAAAAAAAAGGGTGCACTTGTGATGGAGACCACTATGAAGCAGACCTGAGCAGGACTTAAAATTAATCATGTTCATGTTCACTTGTGAATCTGTCCAAGGCCTAGGCTCCTTGTCTGGAAATGGCGGACTCACAGTAAGTGAACCTCTGTTGAGTCACTAATCCCTACTAAAACCTGTAGGGGTGATGAAGCCTGAAAGCCTCAAAGGATAAGACAAGATCACAGCCAAGGACACCTGGATCCAACTCAACTAGGCAAAGACTGGAGCCTCAGGCATCTCACGCCTGGGTGAATTAACTTTATACTTTACTTGGAGAAGTCCTTGAGTGATTCTGCCCTTCTTAAGTACCCCCCTCCCTTCTTATAACCAAATAAATACAAGCCACTCAGAGAAGGTCTTGGTCTTGTCCCGAGAGAATCTTGAATTCTGTGAGAGGGCTCTGATCCTCCTGGAGCCCTGAAATCATGCCATTTGCCTCGTTTTATTTAGCCTTTGCTGTACACTCATTCAGGGGATTGTGGACCCAATCAGCCCGCAATAACTAAGGGGTGTTATTAAACCAATACACCTTATCGTCATTATTTCAGTATATAGATGTTTCAAAGAAATGCAACTGTGGAAAATTCTTACATTGGCTAATAAGAGAAAAGACTAAAAGAAACCTCTGATTTTCTTTTGCCTCCAATGTCTACATAAAAAAGAAGCTTATGTCTCATGTATTTCATATACAACTTCTAGGGAACATTAAAGAGACACTTACCTGAAAGTTTTCAGACTACTTGCATGTAAAATGTCTGGAATCTCTGGGAAAGAAAATATTTTACAGTCATTGGCAACTTTTTCTACATTCCATCATTTTACAGTTTCATTTATTATCTCAGATACAACAAGTAACAACTGACACAAAGAATATCCAAAGGAAAAGAAAACTGCAAGCCCTGTTACACTTAGCATAAAAAGTTTGGCAAGTACAAAGAGTTTAAAGCTATTAAGAATTAATTCTAGTATAAAAATTGAGAAATAAAACAATACATGTGAGAGTGCTTTACATTTTCTCTTGGTAAAAGTATAGTATTTTCAAAGCAATACCTTACCTTGAAGTATCTAAAGAGTGCAAAAATTTAATATTTTAAAAAGTATATCATGCAAACTGTCAAAAAAATTTACATGGCCATTTCTTAGCATGACTGGAAACTCTGCAGAAGCTGATGTGCACGGCCACACTGCTGGGGCCCAGATCCAGCCAGTGCAACAGACACCCGGCACGTCTGCGTGCTGGCTCTTCCAGGAGTTTCAAAATGTAAGAGTACGAGGGACTACATACTTTAAATGGTGTATGTTAAGCACAAAAGAATTTTTAAAAAGGAAACCTGATAAAATGAGTCAGAAATAGTCATACCATAGGGAGAGGATGCTCACATTTACTCTTCTCAAAATCTTATCAAACAAAATTAGCGACATGTGTCTGCGTGTTTCTCTACCCTTGTGAATCAAGGCTCACAAATCTCTCACCAGACACTCCCTGGTTCTGGAAGAAACACTGTGGCAGTACTGGAAGAAGACTGGATGAGTGACAGTACCAGATCTGTCACGGTGAACAGTTTACTTGCGTATGCTCTGTTAACTGCTGCTAACATGCACCTGGCTGCTGCCTACTGAAAGACTTTAAGGGGAAAACCAGGAGCCGCTGTAACAGTGCGCTTGCGATGAAGGCAGTGTGCACTGGACAGATGGGAGTGGAAGTGGAGGCCACCAGATTCTATATGCATTTTGCTGGTGGGATGGATGTGGACCATGAAAGTGACTCTAAGCTTTCTGATCTGGGCAAAAGTACGAGTGCTGATACCACCAAATGAAATTATAGCCAGGCGTGGTGGCACACACAACTGTAATCCCAACACTCGGGAGGCTGAGGCAGGAGGATCATAGTTTGAGACCAACCTGGGCTACAAAGTAAGCTCAAGGCTGGACTGAACTGCATAGCGAGACCTAGTCTCAAAAAAAAAAAAAAAAAAAGAAATGACAGACTTGCAAGAGGAGCATATTTTAGGAGAAAAGCAGAGTGCTGCTTCCTGACAGAGGGTTTCAAAAATTTGATTTTGATAATCCAAGCCTGAAACTCCAGGGACAAGTTAAGATCGACAACCTCACTTTGGACACTGTCAGCCAGTTTCAAACCTATGGGACTGAGTAGGATTAACTTAAGGGTGGGTGTAAATAGAAAAAAATCTCAAGAAGAGGGATGCAGGCAAAGACTGAGTTTATCAAGAGGAAGAAGCTGTGGTTTAGACCTCAAATGGCCCGCAAAGCTCACGTATCGGGAAGGCGCCTGGACCATGGGGGCACTTTTAGAAGTCGCCGGATGTGCTGTTAGGGGGACGAGGAGTCGCCTGGAAGGGCACATCTCCCTCCCCGGCTCCTCCCATTGCTCTCCGCCTCCCAGCACCATGAAGGAAGCAGCTTTCCAAGTAAGCGGCGGCCCTTCCTGTCTTGGTGCCAGCACACTATGGACTGAACCCTCTAAACGCTGACAGCAAAACCAGCGCTGTCCTCCCAGCTGTGGGTGCTAGGTATCGTGACTCGGCAAAAAGGAAAGTGACTGAGGCAGGGAAGAGTCAGCTGACAAAACTGCAGTCCTTCATGGCCAGCGAACGGAAGAGGCCAGGTCCCCCCCAGCACATTAAACGGTACGGGGAAACTGAGCTGGTGCCTGCACCAAACCCTGTAAAGGGTGACTGAGAGTTAATGCCCAGGAGAGCAGCGACTTGTTTTAGCAACTTGGAGGTCATCAGGGACAAGTACTTCTGGTTGAGTGGTGGAGACAAAGTCTAATTAAATGGGTTCCAAATAAGTAAATACAAGGAAATGAAGACCACAGATCAAATTTATATTCTTAGACAGTAACGATGTGGGTGAAAAAGGACACAGAACTGGTTGGAGCTTTCTGCCTCACTCTTGTGTTACGCACCGTGTCAGGCACTTTCACAGGTTAACTATCACTTAACTTCGGAACAGCCTGCCAAGGGGGAACACTATATTTTATTCTTAAATTGAGGAAGCAGGCCTTAGATCTTCATGTATAACTTGCCCTCAGTTATACGGGAAGATCTCAGTTGCTTTTACAGTTAAGAAACTTACTCCTTAGGAAAAAAAAGCAACTGCCATGCATTCTGGAGTTTCTAGTACAACCACAGATTTTCACCAGGTCCTACACTGTTGCATCGCTTTTAATAAAACTTGAAAAACTTTAGTTTTCCTTGTAAGTATTTCCTTTAGTATGTTTTCCCCATGACACAAATGCCCACAGGGACCAGGCAAGGCACGTGAGTGAAGGAAGGAGCAGGGCCACGACAAACTCGAGGATACAGGAGATTATGCTGCACGGTCATCTTTCTTAAAGGATGCAAGAAATCTGTAGGTTTCAGTTGAAATCACTAGGCTGCTTTCTTCTGAATGACAATCAGTGAACTAACTGAATGCTATTTTCAGGCCATGTAGGTTGGCTTGCTACCAGTTTGTGGCTAACTCTCCGTGTCCTTTCCTGCTAAGTGATTTTCTTCAGGTGATATTGCCAAACCAATAATACACTTATTTTTAGGAATTAATTCAACACGCTTCAATGCCAAGAAAATAATTTTCATCTGTATAGTTTTTGAAGAATGACTATAAATGTAGTGAAGTCGAGCAAGAATTACAAAAATGACAAGGACATAGTACCTACTCTAAAGAAACAGAGATGTGGTTACAGATGAGTACGTAATGACCCCTGTAAGTAAGCAAGTCAGGTACACTGAAAAGTAAAACACTGCATCACACTGGAAAACTATGTCACTGCTTCAAAACAGTTTCATTGGGAACGTAGCAGGACAAATGAATCCAAGTTAGGAAAGGAAATCAAAGGAAGAGAATCAAGCTAAATCAATCGAAGAAAATTAGACCTTGATATGAATTACAAATCCGATACTACTGCGAATTTAAGATAGAAAAAAGCACATGGAGAACGCACCAAAGCCATAGCCTTCGTACTGCTGTCGCTCTCGCTCCATGGTCTGCTTGATGACCATCTCCCGGGAATGGTGCCGCCTTCCCTGCCTGTCCTTGATACTGTTATGTAACTCGATCTGTTCCAGCTCACTGCTGAATCGATTTAAATACCTGAAATGTATGAAAATGATTTGAGTTACGCATTATCAATTCATTTAGAACTTAACTCCCAGCCTTTGTCCTATAATTTTTATACTTCTAGAGCTCCTCATGTGCTCCGACCTCTTACCGCCTTCCCTGGATAACCTGTCACTTTACCCCAGGGGCCACCGTGCCTGCTGTCTGTTGACCGGAGGACTCTCACTTCCAGTCACCTAGCAGACTTCTCCGTTTAGATGTCCCCTAGTGGCTTCACCAACCTACTCCACCTTCTGGGCCACCTACCGCAGGAAACCAGTGACCCTTTATCTAGCTGACAAGTGAGGTACACAGGCATGCGCTCTGACGCCCCTCTCCCATTTACTCCACCTTTAAGTTTTCACTAAAGAAAGAGACTTTATTTTTCTTCACACTGCTCATCTCTTCTTGCCTGGACTGCTACAGGAGCCCCTCAACAGTCCCCTGGCCAGGGCCACAGCTCCTTCTTAGGGCATTTTCCTCATTCTCAAAACTGTGACCTTCATGAAGTGTAAATATGCTCATCTTAGGTGCCTGTTATTAAAGTCTCTCACAGCTCCTGAGGTCCCCAGGTAAGACGCAGTATCTTACACTGACGCCCAAGACTTTCCACACGCCCACTGTTACTTACTGTACGCGCCACACTTCCCTCCCCGAACTTGCTATTCAGACATGTAAACGTTTGCCGGTCACTACCTGTGTCATCTTTGCTCTCACCTCTCTGAGCCTTTTAGGCACTGTTTTCTCATGCCAGTGACTCTTCAAATGACCTTCCTAGATCCGCTAACCCCTACCTGTGAGTGCTAGTGTAAATGACACTTCTCCAGGAAGCCTTTCCAGATCCCAAAAGGCTGAGTTAACCACCACACTCATGCGCAGAAAGATTACAAACCCCCTACAGGGGCCAAGCCAGGATATGAACCCAAAGTCTTTCTGAAAAGAAAGCACATTTGCTCCTCTACAAATACAGATTAGAGCTTTCAACAGCTCCCAAGAACCAGGCTGAAAAATTCCCCTTTCTGGTCCTTTGCTCATAATATGCCTGCTGTTTACCTTTCAATTAATGCGCAAGCATCTTTCTTTGAATATCTCAGTTTTTGGGGATCCAGCTCATTTTGAAACCACTGCAGTTTTTCACCTATAAACAAGGACCAAATAGTTTAGCACCATAAGTCACCCTTTAACCCAAGAGATATTAGAATTCTCGACATCAGTGTGCTTAAAACACAATCAAAATTCACTTCCATGTTAATTATAAGCCTTTGTAAAGCTCAAAGTAACCTGGCCAGGGCCACAACATTAAATACATTAAGCATAACATTGCCGGTAGACACTATGCAAAGTACTGATAGCACAGACAACACACCCTATGAACAAGGTTGACAACTGAGGTAATTTTCAGCTAAACTTCTCAACATTACAGATCAAAAAGTGGCCCTACCCAGCACGAACATACCCTGCTTAGAATACTGTATTATTACCTAATGAAGGATCTGAGATGAAGCTTCAAATATCTTTAGTTTTAACAATCAGACCTAATAGTCACATTTTGAAATCTCAGCCTTAACACGAGGACTCCTAGTGTTAACACTGGGAATCCTTAACACTATTTAGTCTCAAATTTTAATAATTTGCTTCATTTTGCTGTCTTAATCAAGTCTGATAAAAAACTATTACTCTGACAAAAAGAATGTTGCATTAGGAGCCTTAAGAAAAAATTTGGTAGAAGGCAAAAATTTACTGTACTAGAATGTTAATTAAGTCAACCCACTTACCGATAAGGCTGAGACGCAAGGCCTTTTCATTCTTCAATCTTGGAAGAAAATTTGTATATGTTAGGAAATTTCCAAAGCAAGTTTTAGAAATCTGTCAAAAACAACAAAAGAAAAAACTGCCCAAAGAACTTAAATTCAAACATCATTCTTTTATACTTATAAAATTAATTCTAAAAGCACAAACACATGGAACACTATGCTTTTCTTTCAAATCACTGGAACAAAAAGTTATTAGAATACTTTTTCAGCTCTTCAATGATGCAGGAAGCTTACAGAACAAACCAGTTTTCAAAATTCACATTAAATCCTGATTCGATTATGAATGTACAGATAGGTTCTGTAATACGCAGAACGTTTATGCACAAAAGAGTAATAAACTCTTGAAAATACAGTGCTACCACCAAACCAAAATGCACTACTGTCCTCTTTTAAACTTCAAGATGCAAAGTATAATTACTTCTCATGAATTTGAAAAGAATTACAACCCAAGAACCTCAGTTATTCTCAAAAACAGTGTAGGTGACATGCTTCCTCCTGTTGATATTCTACATGCTTGTTAATTCAAGAGATCAATGGGTACCTAATCTTCACCAGACTTCAGGCTGGGCCCTGGGAACACAGCAGTGAACAAAACTCCACCCTCTCTGTTCCACCAAAGTCTAACATCCAGGCCTGAAGTCTGCCAACAGCCCAGCGAGAGCAAAGCCTATCTCTCTCTCTCTATGACGTTCGGCAGGGATGCAGTCCCAGACAGGACACAGAATGCAGCCTGGTGAGATCCTGAACCTGAAGCATCCAGGTACGTGCTCCTGGGATTTTCGGAGTTAGCAACTGTTTTTCTTCTAAGCTAACAAACTATAGTAAAATTTCTTACGAATCAACAATGCCTGTCAACTGCTATTTATGTCTAAAAAGCCACAGGTATTTGAATTCCAAATTAAGTCTTACTGGTACCTTTTGTATCATCTTTAGAATAGCTGTTCCAACTGTCTGGGAGTGCTGTCACCAAATATGTTTTGAAAATATGCAACTCAGCATTTCTGTCTTATTGGAAGTACTGGTCTACAGCAGGGAGTCAGTCAACGCATATTAAGATGCTATTTGTGACCATACTTCCATTTAAAGTGTAATTTATGATTGCAGATGCTGCTACTCAAAAAACTGCTAAGAAGGACTAAATCTATGGTTTCCCAGCAGTAAAATGTTAGACACAACTAAAACTATATTTGGTTCTAATACCATGACTTTTGGTACAAAGGTGGCTTCTTTAAAAATAGACGAGAAAAAAAGGGAAGCCCAGCTGGTTTAACATTGTCCAAGCAGAAAAACTACTATCAACTCCTTCCTATTAAAAGAGGAGCCTTGACCAACAGAACTTTTTTAGAGCAAGTTCTATGAGATTAGCATATTGCTCTGGATTCTTCCTTCCATAATTATTCTACATGGCTGATTCTATAAATTAGCATATAAAACTGAATACATCTGACAACATACAAACATTCTAGGCCCAACACCACAAATAAAAACCACGAACCAAAGCACTCTCACTTGTGGGATCCTCCTCCTCTCTAACCTCTGCCTGAGGGAGACTCTGGACTCCCCGGCTGCCTTCCCATTCCTGTGTTACTCATTAAGTGATCTCTGAAATCCCATACAGATGCTCACAGCTCCCTAATTTCTGACACCCTTAACTCACCTCTGGATGGGAGACCCACCATATCCTGCTGTTCATTATCCTCTACGGAAAACAGGCATTTTGTATGCCCAGTGTGTAATAGCACAGCTGCTTCCCGCACGTCTCAGCCCTCTGTAACTTCTTGGGAAGCCTCCCAAGACTATGCCATCAGAACCTCCCTCCCTGCCTCCACCCCATCATCCTTACTAACTTTTCTTCACTGTGCTCATCACAATGCTTTTCAACTTACTCATCTGAGTTAAGCTCTATGAAAGTGAAGTCCTTGTTCAGTTTTTCCTTATTACAGAGAACATACTTAACTAATATTTGCTAAAGGAAGGAGAGAAAATTACAGAAAAGTACATGTCTGAAGGATAAATGTACACAGGGCTTTTCGTCAGTGCATAATGCAAGTGGCAAAAAGATACTTACTTCTCCTTCTTTTCTTGTTTGTGGGCCTCTCTTGTAATTTGAGCAGCTTTTCTACTGTATGGATGGATGATTTTTTTTTCTCGTCCTGTGCTTTTTTCCTTTGGTGCTTTAGGCTAAAATATGACATATATAATCAGATATATTGAATGACGAGTCACAAAATTTTCCTCAGAAATAAAATTTAAGAGCAATAATATAATAGAAATACAGTGAGCCAGAAATACTAACAATAAAAACATGGAAAGAGTCAACAAATGCAACTCTTCAACTGTTTTACCTCCCAAGTAGGTACAGAACCCATCTCAAAGAAGCAGAAAAGAAACATGAGAAGGCAAATTCCTTCCCTTCAAAAAGAATATTATCTGGGAAGTTGTAAATTCTTTTGCTCACATCCCACTGAGCAAAACTTAGTCACAGTATTTATAAAAAAATGAATAAACACAGTAATACTTAATCTTGGAAAAAGAAAATCCATTACTATAGAAAAAGAAAAAAAATATATTAGGGGACAGCTGGCAGCCTCTACTATACCTAATTCTCAAAAAAGGCCAAGTGTCTACAGAATCTTCTCTTCAAAATTACTGTCATTTACCATTTGATCAACAGATCAAATCCTCATGATCAGAATGTCCACTGGGTTCTCCCTGCTGGTCCTTTTTCCAAAGAATCACAGAGCTTCTTTCTAACACTAATCCAGTAAAATCCCTCTTTCTGCTGAAAGAGCTCTGCTAGCTTTGAAATCTTTAGCATAGAGAATCAATATACCTCAAACTTCTTCTCCAGCGTTATTTCTCATATTCCACAAGAGTCTTCATCCATTCTTACTGGAATTTATAGTATACCATTCCTAACTTTTGTCTTCATTCTATCTTTTTTGAGGTGGAGTCTCGCTATGTAGTTCAGGCTCACCTCAAACTCACTATGTAGCTCAGGTTGGCCTCGATTTCACAGTGATTCTCCTGCCTCAGCCTCCTGAGTGCTGGGATTGCAAGTGTGGGTTACCATACCCTGCTCCTAACTTCTTCAGACTGCCATTTTGGGGTACTTTTGTCTGCAAAATCCTTTCCCTCTGCTATCCTTTGATGTGATGCAGCTCAAAATCACGTTCTTTTTAAAGCTCTATAGGCAGAATTAAAATGGCCATCAATTCCTCATTCATATATGCATTCCTTCAAAAATATTCCCTAAATTCTCTGCTCACTACTTGATAAATCTGACCAGAGAAGTGATGTCTAAGTCTGAAGTTCAAGGTGTAACTGGAAGTTAGCCGAAGACAAAGCGGATAAAGTAAAACTATCATAAGAATACAACAGATGTATTATTTGTGTCTCTGCACACAAGGCGTGGGAGTGCAGGGACAAATGGGAAGTGGGCTAAGAATTCTTTCAACATAGTCAACCCAGGAAAGAGTAATCAAGTAAAAACTTCTGCAAAGTGTGGCAGACTGCTGCTTAGATGGCACCCAAGGAAGCCCAACACCAGATATTCACTTCTGGTGTAAGCTCCTCCCCTTGAGTGTGAGCTAGAACTACTAACTCACTCTTAATGAACGACATTCAGTAATGGCAATTTTAAAACTAGGTTATGGAAACCGGACTTCCACCTCCCTCACTTTCTTGTTCTCTCACTTTGTTCCTCTGATGGAAACCAGGTGCAATGTAGTAAGCTGCCCTCTGGAGAAGCCCAGGTGACGAATATCTGAGAGATAGTTTCCAGCCAACACTCAACAAAGAACTAAGGCTCTCAGTCCAATAGTCCAGGAAGAGCTAATTCCGACCAAGACCAATATGAGTGCACTTGCAAATGGATCCTTCTCATGTGTACCTGGGAGCCACAGTGAGAGCTGGACTAAGAAACCTTGACATGGAGCACAGGTAAGCCATGCTTGGCTCCAACTCACAGAACTGAAATAACGAATGCTGTTGTTTTAAGGCACTCAATTTTAGGATAACTTGTTACACAGCAATGCATAGGTAACTAATGCAAGACGAAGAAAACAAAGCAAAAGTTCACTCTTTGAAAAGATGATCATGATCCTACACATCATAACAAGTAATGTGCTTCAAAAAAAAAAAAAGCAACAGAAAAGTTCACAAAATCCTAAGGGAAAAAGAAAAATTTAATAACTGAAGTTAAAATCATAATAATGTTTCAGCAATGTATCTAAGTCTATAAAAAAATCCTGTAAAGACTAAAAAACTTTCACTAGAAAAAAAAAATAGTTTGACATGCTTTGAGTATGAAAATGACCTCACAGCTTTAGAAGATTTCAGTTAAAGAACTTTCAAGACTTAGTACAAAGAAAGTACAAAGAAACTTATATTCTGACTCAGTCGGCGCTTAGAATTCCTTATAATTTATTTATGAAAAGGTTCCCCAAGGAAGGATATTAATATTTAATGAAACACAGAAATATGTACAGTAAGATTTATCATACATAAAAACATTTTCATATTTTTTCAGTATAACATATGAAAATTTTAAAAAGCACTTCAACAGGGAGAAATTGAAGTAAAACTCTCTCAACAAAATGTTCATGTATTAAAGTAAAACTCTAGCTGAAATCTGCTTGACAAGATGAGATTATTTCTATTTAAATTAACTGCTCTTACAGGAAACCAGTTTTCTGTTATGTTGGTCTGGCACTAAAAATAAGCAGGTAAACAGGCTACATAGCAAGAAAGAAGACAGTCCTGTTTAAATCAACTACCTGACAACTAAGACCACACCACCACACATACAGGTTAATACTGGATTTAAAAAAAAGTCTGAAATGTCTTAGATACTAGGATGTTACATTTGTAAGTCAGCTTGTACAACTGCAAAAGTACTTTATCTCAAAGAAGAATCACTACTTCACAAGCCGTCAGAGCAATGAACACACAGATGCTACTAATAAAATAAAACTTTAAAAATGTTTAGTAGGTAGCAAAATAAGCATTTGATAATAATTCACCTTTAGATCACGGAAGCTTAGTTATACTTTGCTCCTATGGGGTAGGAGCAAATCTTTGTTCAGAGTGTTGATTAGTATTAAATATCTCAATGACTCAAAAATGTAAATAAAATGAAAAGCATATGAATCTCTTAAATATTAGTGTATCACTGCATTTCAATTAGGTTCCTCACAATTCCATTTAAAGAAAAATGAAATAATTTGGATTGAAGGAACAAAAAGATTTGCTTAGTTTAAATCAATCTCAGAATAAAAAGATACATCTAAACAATAAATCTATAAAAATATAAAATTCTAGAGAGAACCTATTACAGACCAAGTCAGAAGTTAAATTAGAAGAACAAGTATTTGCAAAACAAACATTAATTCCCTTAACATAAAAATGTTTTTAGACAAGTAAGATCAGCAAACTAAAATAAAGCTAGAATACCAGCAAGTTACAGAAAGAGTAAAATATGTTTAATGGTTTGAAAAGGTGTATGCTTTAATTTAAAAGAAATGTAAATTAAAACATCAATAAAACAGATTAACATATAACTACCAAGATAAAATTAACATTTCATTAGTGAGGTTGTGGGTGTACAAAATGGCGGCCTTATAAAAAGCAACTTGATAGATCCAGTCAAGGTAAAATCGGCATGTCCTTCGACCAAGGAATCAGAAAAAAGAACAAAGAATGCAGCAGCAATACAGGGTTTGCAGTAGCCAATGAACAGAAACTTTAAATGTCCATCAGAGATCTGGCTAAATAATTTCAGGAAAAGCAAACAGAATAGTAACTATTTTTTTTTTTTAAAGTTAACTATTGCCAGGCATGGTGCCACCTGCCTAGGATCCCAGCACTCTGGGAGACTAAAACAAAAGGATCCAAATTCAAATCTTGCCCAGGAACTTGAGACTCTGTCCCAAAATTTTAAAAAGTTAAAAAGAGTTGAAAGAGCTAAGACCCAAGAATGGAGACGGCCTCTAGAAACTGAAAAACAAAACAAAACAAAACAAAACCATGGAAACAGACCCTTCACTACAGCCTACAGCCTCTTAAAGGACAGTAACTCTGGAAACACCTTGCTTTTATCTCAGTACGACTCTTTTTGGGGTCTTAGACCTCCAGAAATATAAAAAAAAGGAAAATGCAGTTTTAAACCACTAAATTTATACTAATATTTTACAGCACTATGACAAAACCAATACACTTTTCATAGATAATCATTTTTTGCTGTTATTTTTAATCACCTACATGTAGTACTGTTTCAAAAAGGGCATACAAAGTAGATTTGCAAGTTGTTTTTTTTTTAGTTTTACTTTTAGGAGCGAGTCTTCCTTAGTAGAAAATCCAACTGACACTGATTAAGTTTTTTAAATCTGCTGTTACAGTTCCTGTCAAGAAATTTGTACACAGTCATTAATGGTTAATCACAAGTAATGTGTATAAACTTGATAAATTAAGAGAATAATGGCACACTTCTAATGATTTATAATCTAGCTGGTGAGGGAGGAAAGAAACACATTTAGAACAGGCCAAGGTAGGAAGGAGTACATGTACATTCCAGAGCGCCTAGTAGCAGCATAGCACAAACCAAACTTAAAAGCGCTAAAAAACTTTAATGCAGAACAATAAAATGTTGAGTGGGATAAACTAATTTGAAAAGATTTTTTTTCATGTAGTTGAATTAAATACTGTGTTGAGTGGGATAAACTAATTTGAAAAGATTTTTTTTCATGTAGTTGAATTAAATACTGATATCAGAAAAAGTTTTGAACTTGATGACCTCCAGGAAGGATTCACCATGAGAACACAAATGAACGAGGTGACAAAAGAGAACAATTAGACGCTGTGCCCTGCTATTATTTACGTCAGTGGATACTGGCAGTAACCACAGTAACATTTACTAAGTGTGTGGACTGGGCTGAGTACTTTATATTTAACTTTCACAATTCTATATGTAGGTACTAAACAGACCAGAGAGTAAGTCATTTCACCAAGATCACAGGTACCAAACTGACTGAGGCCACACTGTGAAATGCTGTCAGAGAGTGCAGCAGAACTGCTGGCCGTTGTACCAAACACAAACAACAAATAACAAGCCAGGGCCGGAAGTGTCCTCCTATATGTCACTCATTTTTATATGTCACCATGCCAAGGCAACATATTTCTACTATAAAGCCAGGCAAAAGTGAAGCACTAGAAGTCAGTGACAACTACAGTCACATGCCAGTCAGTACCTCATGTACACTTTAGTAACCTCCCTCTGGTAAGGAAAAGAAAAACAAAGGGCTTGAAATCACAGAAGCACGCTGATAAACAAGACCGAATGTACACAAAAATGTACACAATCCAAATCAGGGCTGTGGGTAGACAAAAAAGACAAAAATGATGGGCATGCATACAACAAAAAGGGCAACAGCAAAAGAGAAAAACAGGACAAAAAATTTTGTGGCCAAAATACCATAACTTTTTACCAGACTATATATCTTTACTTATTTATTTATTTATTTTTCTTTTTTTCTTTTTTTGGAGACAGGGTCTCGCTGTGCAGTTCAGGCTGTCCTTGAGCTCACTTTGTAGCCCAGGCTGGTCTTGAACTCACAGCGATCTTCCTGCCTCAGCCTCCCGAGTGCTGGGATTACAGGCGTGCGCCACCACGCCCGGGATTATTTTAATGTTTTCATTATAAATATAGCTGGGTAGTGTACATTCATTATTCCTTCACGAACATACAACGTATTCCCATTCAGGAACGATTCTTAAGAACATAAGGGGAAAAAGCAAGAAGAAATAAGATACAGTAAAGAAAAAGGATAGCATAAATACGAAGTTTAGATCCTGCTTACCCTTGAAGGTGACAGGTTCAAGGCTTTCAAAGACTACCACGTTTTATTTTCTAAACTACGTAGTATTTCTTACACTACTAATGTCTATACTTAAATGTGTTTCAGGAACACTCTTTCCTATCGACTCCCCAGGGCCTGGGCGGGCACAGGGGTCTCGGGGCAGCAACCCGGGCGGGCCGGGTCCCCGAAGGGCGGGCGGAGGCGGAGGCACAGACCCGGGCAGACCCAGCCGGCCGTGGGAAAGGGGCGCGGGGCGCACCCCTGACCTTCTCCCAGGTCCGCACCGAGCCGTCCCGGGGAGCGCGGCGGGGCATCCCCGCGCGGGTCGGGCCGCTCGGTCCCCGAGCCCTGCCACCCTCCCGCCCCGGCGCAGCCCCGGGGACCAACCCAGGGCCCGGGAGGCGAGAAGGTGCCTACCATGGTGCCGTCCTAGAGGCCTCGGGGGACCTCCGCACTCCGCACCCCGCAAGCTCCCAGCGCGGAGCGGCGCCTCGCAAGCCCGCACTCCTGCCCAAACACACGTGGGGCCACAGACGCCGGGCGGCCCCGACCGGAAGGGGAGGAGCGAGTGCGCCGCAGAAAACGTCCCCGGAAACTGAGACGTGGTCTTTTTAGTCCGAGCCGAACTTTAGAGCCGATGGTGAGTGGTACCTGGTCCTCCTAGAGCACTGGGCGGGGCATCTTAACTCTGCTCCGGGACACGCTTTGCGCCCGACCCATCACGTCTGGGCCCCAAGCGTAGATCTCGAGCTTCTGCGCTCAGACACATCTTCAGCGGCGAGAAACCCCTTCAGACTATAGGTTCCTTCTCAGCGGGTCTAGCGTTGCAGGAGCTGGACCCAACCGGGAGCCTAGTCCTCAAGATGCTCCTGCAGTCTGCTTTCCCAGTCTGCTCCTGCAGGAAAAGGGCAAGGCTTTTCCTCAACTAACATAAGTTCCTTTATCCCAAAAAGGCCCCTTCCTTCCTCACAGTCTAGGCCCCTTCCAACCCAGTTTTTCTGTTTCTGCATAGCATGTTAAAATTCCAGAGACAGTAACTTCGTTCAGTAAATATTTACTGGATGTCTATTGCATGCCTGACATTGAGGGCACCCCGGAATATTCATCTTGTCACTCAGCTCATATTCCAGGGGAGCATGCAAAAATAAATCAATACACATTTCAAATAATTTAAAGACTGCAAGAAATAAGGCTGGTGGGGTGGGCAGGAAAGCTGTTTTACACGTGGTGGGCTGAACTCTCTGAGAAATGATAGAAGATTTTTGAATCAGAGGGAAGTAGGCATAGGAAGAAGCACTAAGCGGGGTGAAGTTAGGTATTCCTAGATATGTGTGCAGGTATATGAGTTTAATTAATACATATATCCACTTTGAAAAATCATTCAAATTCTAAGTAAGAGTGTGTGGACAATGGATTCTTGAATTTAGGAGCGAAGCATTTTTACATAGCCGTTGAAGTGTGTGAATGTGCATGTTGTATAACCACACAATGAAAGTCATCCTTATAGTACTCTCCTGAGGACTCCGAATGAACCAGAATATTTACACTATACTCTAACCAGTCCTTGTGAAACCAACTCTAACCTACCCTAACTCACCCCAAAGTCTGATGCAGTGAAGTCAGCCTCCTAAGTTCCATGTTGCTGCAGATCTGTGAAGCATTAAATCCTCATTGTGGCTGATTTGGCTGATTAGTAATTGCTCTTTGTCACTGAATATAGCCTGCGAAGTTCTCCACCAAGGGAGATTGAGGACCTCAACTTGCTTCCCCCATGAAGTAGATCCCTCCACTTTTGTCACACAAAGCATTTCAGGACACATCACTGAGAGGATAAGTACGTTTATTAAGCAGGATCAAAGGAGTACATACTCAGAAGGGAGTGCAGGTGTCCAAGGATGAGTTGAACTTGGTCTGGACGTGCAGGTATTTACAGTTTTGGGGATGTCCTTGGGACAGCTGATCTGAGATGTTTACTTCCAGAGTTCCATCAGGTTATGTATTGGTGGGGCTTGGTTTGGAAATGATTTGCTTGTATTTGGAGTTCAGAGATATGACATCCAATGAATAGTGCTCTTTCCTTGAAGATAGAAATCTGTGGAATTTATGAATCAGGAGAAAAACCACAGTCCACTTTACAGGATAAAGGAATGGACCTAAATTACAGACTTAGTGTATCTTTTAAGGTTTTAGAAGTTTAGGAGTGAATAGTTTAGAGGTGGAAAAACATGTAATGGTAAAATAGGCATTGTAGTCTTGAGCATATTTTAAAGTAAAATTTTACAGCTACAATTTTCCTGTCTTCTATCTTAATTTTTGTTTATTCTACTTCATCTTGATCACAAAATTCCTACCTACTCTTACCTATTTTGAAAGAGGAGAAATATTTAAAGGTATTACCTATATATTGACAAACACACAGTACTAGATATGTGCATGAGTGTGTGCGTGTGCATGCGCTGAATGTGTGTAAAGGTTAAGTACTGATTAATGTTAGATATTAATGTAATTATACATAATTTTAGAAAACTACTAAAACAAGATACACAGTATATAATTTTTAGAGACTACACATAGAAAAAATAAAATAAATAGGATGAAAAATACTTAGATAATTCAAGGAAGTAGTGTAGAAAAAAATGAAACATGGAATAACAGAACAAATAAAAAGCAAAATATAGCACTCTTAAATCCATGAAATAGTAACTGATTAAATACTCAATTTAAAATTTTGCATATATGCATATATGCATGTGGCTTATGCCTGGGATCTCAGCATTCTGGGAGGCTGAGGCAAAAGGATCATAAGTTGAAGCCCAGCCTGCGTAATTTAGCAACTTAGCAATACCATGTCTCAAAATAAAAAATAAAAAGGACTAAGGATGTAGCTCAGTGCCAAATCCAGGGTTCAATTCCCAGTACTTGGATAAAATACATTTCATATATATTCAGTTTCCAGTACTGGAAACGTACATTGTATATATATCAAATTTTAAACACTGGAAAAATATAGAAAGGAGTATGCTAAATAAGTATTAATTGAAAGAATGCTGAATAAATATATTAATCTTATACCAAATTTACTTTAGCTCAAATAATATTACGGTAGATAGAAAAGATCACCTGATAATGAAGCAGTTTCCATTTTAAATTCATTTTCATCTTAGCAATATAAGCTTAAAGTATGCGTTGGAAAAGCTGATACAATTTCAAGGACAAATACAAAAACCAGAAAGTCATGTGGGAATTTTAACATGCTTTTTTCAGTAATTAAAAGAATAGATAAAATATGAACAGTGATTTTGAAAACCACAGTGCAGTTTAACCTGACAAATCCATATAGATTTCTGCTTCTGGTACTTACAAGTATAACAAGACTGCACACATATGTGTGGTACAGTTAAAAAATTTATTATACACTGGGTCAAAAAATAAGATAAGTGCAAACAAATCTGGAAGGATTGAAATCCTATTGAATGTGTTGTCTGATCACAATGTAAACCAGAAATTAACAGCTAGAAGATAGGAAATGAATTTTCATACATGTCATAGAAATTCTCATAGAATTTCTCATAGAAACTAAGAATTATACATCTAAATAAATCAAGAACTAAAGAAGAATGGAAATTGTAAAATAATTTCATCTGGGCAATAACAAAAATACTAAGTATCTAAATTGGTGGGATGCATCTGGAGGAATAATTACTTCATTTAACCTAAAATTGGAAAAGAAAAGTTAAAAATCAAGTTTCACAAAATTAGGCAATATGGATAACACTATATTTTTTACAGATACCATCACAGATACCAGGCATATTTCTCCTCCCGTGTGGTTGTTAGCTTGGTGTTTGGTTTATAATTATTCTTTATACTCCACATTTATATTTTATACACCTTTTATGCTTGTATGTGGACACCAGAATCTGTGGAAGCTCAGGTCTTTTATGTCAAATGGCATATTTGCACATAACCTATTTATACCCTCCCTTCTACTTTAAGAATATCTAGACTGCTTACAATGCCTAATACAGTGTATGTGCTATGTAAATAATGGTGACTGTGAAGGCTGGATTCAGAATTTTACATATCCAATTATTGTAAATATTGCATAAAAACTTGGCATACTTTGAGAGATAGCACCTGAATCTCCTAGCCCAGGATGCCAAGGCTAAGACAAACCCTGAGGCTATAGAAGACTTCAAGCAGTTCTTTTAAGGTTTTCTGCCAGATTCCTCCCTCCCCCCAATGCTGAGTGGCATGATTTAAACACATGGTCCCCTTCTCCAACTTCCTCTCTGATCCTCTTCTCTCTCCCTTCTGGGAAGTGACCTCTGCACTCTCGCCTTTTGAAGGTAAGGGCGAGAGACTTTTACTCTAACACGCACCAACCTGTCAAAAGCTTCTCCCAAAAGAATTGTGTGCTAGTGCCATCTTGTGGATGGAAATTACATATATATA